AAACATGGAGACTTATTGAAGGCGTAATAAAAATAAAAACTATAATAAAATACAAATATTAACAATTCAAATGTATTCAAAAAGTTAACAATGTACAACTAAGGGGATCAATAGGAAAAAAGTGCAAGTGTATACATGGAGGAATTTTCACACACACATAAAACATTCAAAACGGATCTTACACCGGCCCCCAAAATCCCTCCATACCACACAAGCTACCTTGATGCCTATGGTCATGGTTCATTATGTAGCATATAACACTATAGGAACGAGTAGGACTTACAACAGCACGCCTACTCGACCTACCTACATTGATAATACGAGGAACTAATTCGAGCCTTCAAGGAGGCATAATCTACGTATATCTCTCCTGACAAATCCCACTTTCGTACGAACAACAACTGTCCTTACTCTTCCGTCGTCATCTATTTCACAATCTTCAACTACTCCTAAGGGCCACTTTCCACGGATCGATATGTCCGAGTCCACGATCATTATATCGCCTTTCTGAAAATTGCGGTGTTCAACTAACCATTTTCGACGTTTTTGTAGAGACGGTAAATATTCTCTTAACCACGTTTTCCAAAACACATTAGCAAGATGATTAACCTGTTTCCAACGTTTGTCGTATTTACCTCTGATACTACCTTCTTCGTCTATTCCGTCACATTCTCTCAATAATAACAAACTATTTGGCGTAAGGCTAATTTATCGTTAGCATCTTGGACAACCGAAGTTAAGGGTCGGTCGTTCAATATCCTTTCAATTTCAACCAAGTAAGTGCCTAAGGTCTCATCGGTTAAAGTCTGCTCTCTAGTTATCAAAAATAACAGTCGGCGTATATTCTTAACCATCCTTTCCCATACTCCACCCCTGTGGCTGGATGAGGGCGGGTTAAAATGCCACTGAATCTGCCTAGCTGACAGTTCCTTATTTATCTTCTGCTGATTCAACTGTTGCACGAATCTCCTTAATTCAGAGAACGCACCCACGAAGTTCGACCCATTGTCACTGTAAATTTCTTCAGGTTTCTTTCTTCTTCCAATAAAACGTAATAAGGACATTATAAATGAATCAGTATTCACACTATATATCATTTCAATATGTACTGCTTGGGTATGCAAACAAGTAAATACACATCCATATCTTTTTTCTAGTGATCTTCCTCTTTTGACTAAAAGGGGTACAAAGTAGTCAACTCCTACTGCTGAGAAGCTATACCAGCCTTGTTGAATTCTACAAGCTGGAAGCGGCGCCATCAATTGTTGTCCTGTATTCATCGTAAACAGTCGGCATGTCACACACTTTCCTATCACTCTCCTAACCGTGCTGGTTCCTTTTATTATCCAATAGATTTTCGAATCGTGGCCAGTACTTGGGACGTTCCTGTGTGCCCTTGTTCCTTATGATAATGTCTAATTATCATTTCCGTCACTAAGTGTCGACTGGATAAAATTATTGGATGTTTAAAGGTATTTGGGAAATCTGAGTAACTTAGTCGACCTCCAACGCAGAGTAACCCACCAAGCATTATCTGTGGTAAACCCTTCAGAGCATTGTGACTAACTACTTTACAATTGTTTTTAAATCCACTAAGTATTTCTCCATACACTTCTTTCTGAACCATCAATAAAATTTTAAGCTTGGCGATATCAAGCTCTTTGACCTTTAAACATCCTAGATGAACGGATCCTTCACGACTCGGTGAACGAAGTACCACCAGGAATTCTATGAACCTTCTAAGCCAGGCTACGGCCCACCACTCAGAATAATAAGAGAGAATAGGTGACATGTTGTACTTTATACTACTCAAGTTAACCACAGCAATTTTTCTAAACTCAATATCGTCAGTGATTGTTATACAAAACTCGCCATGCACTAAGTGGACATTTGAACCAAGATTCAAGATTATTCATGTTTTGTATACCTCTCAAGGTCCAATCAACTGGATTCTGTGACGACTTCACATAACTCCATTTTTCAACCTTCGTATACTGGTTCACAACAGCGAGACGGTTGGCTATATAGATGCGATATTGGTTCTCGATATTCTTAATGTAGTATAACACTATCATGGAATATGTATGGAAGTTTACTTTGCAGAAAAAATTAGGCAGACTTCTCCGTAAGACTTCCCTAAGCCTCACACTTAACACCGCTGCCACCATCTGAAGCCTCGGTATAGTGACTTGTTTGATAGGTGCTACCCTAGACTTGGTGTACAACAAGATACAGTATGGTGGTTCCTTCAAATAACTGACCCCTGAGTACGCAGCTGCTCCATAACCAATCTCTGAAGCATCACTGAACAAATGTCGATTCTCTTCTTGATACCCCGAGCTAACGTAACATGACCTATCTGACGCATAAAATTTACCCAATTTAGCCACGCGGACATGTATGGCTCGTTGAGAGGCTGATCCCAGCCTACTTGGGACTTACATAATTTTTGCAAGAGCAGTTTGTCAGTAAGACAGACTGAAGCAATTAGACCTAAAGGATCGAACAGAGAAGAAACTGGTCAGAGGCCTTTCCGGTGCATCAAAGTCAAACCTAAATACATCTTGTTCGAAATCCCATCCTACGCCCAGAGTTCGATGAGCAGTATCGTAGCTCGTTGACATTTCTATCAAAGACTCTTCTTTACATACATTAGGCAAGATGGTCCTTACTTCCTCCGAGTTGGTGACCCATTTTTTTAGTTTAAAACCTCCTCTACATAACAATTCACTTATCTGCTTAATGAAACTCTTTGCCTAATCACAAGTGGAAAAAGATATCAAGCAGTCGTCAACATAAAAATTATTCTTAACAGCATCTACGACATAACCATCATAACCGTCAGAGAATATTTGGGCCGTCTTATTCAAGGCAAAGTTTGCGCAAAACAGCGATGATGTGGCACCAAATGGATGAGATGTCATTTGAAATTCGGATGGTTACCTAAACATGTCTCCATCCTGCCACCACAGAAATCCTAAAGCTCCTCGATCAGACTCAGGGACCTTCACTTGCATGAACATTTCCTCAACATCTGCAGAGATTGCAACCGCTTCCTTACGAAAACGCAATAATATACACACTAGCTCAGCAGTGGTGTCAGGTCCTTGATAGATCATATCATTTAGGCAAACACCTGCAAACTTGGCTGCACAATCAAGGACCACTCTAAGTTCTTCTGGCTTTTTCGGATTTAACACTGCATGATGAGGTAAATACCACCGGGGGCAATAATTAGGTTGCAATTGTATTTCAGGGACCTCCTCCGCATAGCCCTTAGTAAAATTACTTTCAGTACATTTGGTATACCTGATGTGCAGGCTGTCATCCTTCAACAACTTACGCCTCAAACTCTGTAATCTACTGTTTGCTACTCCATAATTCTCCACTTTCATATTTGGATTCCTTTTCCACGATATAGGAACCACAAAATGACCATTGTCAAAGCGCGTGCCCCCTTCCACAATCCTTATAGCTGCCTTGTCTTCTACTGACACTGAATTATCACTTGAGTAAACATCAGAAAACTCTACATCATAAAGCTTACGTATTTTGTTCTTCAAAGTCTGTACTTTACTGGTATGATTAACAACTCTTTTCCTATATTCTGGGTATTATGCAGGTCCAGAGACCGTCCACCCCAGCAACGTTTTCACAGCGTACGGGTTCTTCCTTCCACCCAACCGCTGATCTAACACCCAGTGTGCTTCTGGCACGTCACAACCAATCAACAATAAAACGTTTTCAGAGTCTAGGCTATCTATTGATACATACTTTAAATGCGGCCACCTAACTAGGTTGTTCACTGCCGACTTCGTTGGCTTATGACCTGGTATACCTGTCATAATCAGAGCTCCTTCAATCGTAACATGTTCGGACCGATCTTAAGAATATGCCTCAAAATGAGTCTTTGTGACCGTCATTGATCTATTACCACCCACAGTTTCAACCACGATTGGTCTTCCTTCAGCCCGAGAGACCTCAAACAGTTCGATTTTATCAATGTCACATCAGAACCGTTATCCAACAAAGCATAACCCACAATTTCGGCATTTCTCAATCTCAGCCGTACGGGAACCATTCCTAAGCACATTTGACTACTTAGGGATTTAGTAAATCCACAACAATTCTGAGTACTAGGCTTATCATTTACGTCGTTGCTTGTCGAGTCGGTGTCCAGTAGGGAGTGATGTCTCTTCTCACAACTATCAACGTTACAGCGCCTTGTCATTTTACATTCGCTAACCTTATGTCCTTGTCTGAGACAGACAAAACAGATACCACTGCTTTTTGCGTGAGACCATCGGTCCTGGACTGAGAGCGCCAAAAATTATAGACATTTATAAATAGCATGGTCACAGGAACAACTCCACATCCAAAAGTTCAGGAAGAGAGGGATCTCTGAGTATCTCCAAGCTATGAATTAAAAGGCTGCACGGTGCTATGTAACTACTGCTGAAATATTTGCCTGCCGATGTCATTTTGCAGAGTATTCAACGAAGAAATGATTCCGATTTCATACCGACGTATGTGAGACCACACCCAGAATACTATATGAAGTTAGCCATTTCGTATTCTACCAGAGATTAATAAATGTTTATTCGTGTCAAATAAACCAGAACAATTTCGATGACAGGTCCTTCAAATCTTGCCCATGAAGAGCGACTACTGAATAAATATATTCTCGTTATTGAATAACACTTAGAAATCTTGGATTGGCACCACTGAATTTAGTTAATTATTGGAATCTTAAAACGTCTTGTTTTTTTGCTGCTTTCATGATTTATCATTTGTGAATTTGTCAGAAAAGATCAAACAACTTGAGGTGATCCAATTTATCGCACCGAGTGGTCAGCTACTGGAAGGCCTTACAAAAACAAATAATATTAAGATAATCAGTGAAGAATTTTATGGAAAAGCTGGACCTTCACAGAAATACTGAATGTGAGGATTATTGCAGCTTAAATGACCTACTATTTTTTTTATAACCGAGTGATTCCATGTACTCTAGCCCGCGGTGTTTGAATGGGTTGGGGGTTGTGCATTTGAAAAAATACACCTTGTCCTGGGATATGGCACTTTGACAACTTTCCCCCTGCTCTTTCCATGGATGCCCTAGGTGCATTGGAAAGAAAGGTGATATATACAGAAGCGTCCAGTATTTATGAAGCTATACGACTCAATCAAAAGGTATTCGCGATTACTTATTTATTAGTGTAGGTTATCTTACTGGATTCGCGTTCGTTTATGGTATATAATACCAGTCACATACATACTGCTATAAATATAGGTGGTAACAGGGCATTTCAGAGAAAGTTTTCTCAAAATCAGGTTGGTAGTTTACGTATATCCAGACATCTTCGAGTAAAGGTCCCGTTAGATTTACTTTTATGTAAACTAACAAATTTGGAAAACCCTACGGAGTTAAGAAAGTTACCAATTGTTGTCTACGATGAGTTTATCGATTCTGTTCTGAATCTAACACCTGGATGCTTCTTGTTTTCTTTATTGACGCAATTGACTCTAAAATTTCCAGTTGTCTTTCTCCTTAAAGGTGAGTAAAAAACAACTTTTAGATTTGTTTTTCTTCAGGTATCTATTGCATAAGTTTCTGGGATATCTGTGCACTTTTACTGACTATCATTACGTAGTATAGCCTTATTCGGTCGTGATATCTAGTAATAAGGTATGAAGAAAATATTAAACGTGATAAGTACTTGGTTTCTTCGCCTCTTGTCAGAAACTAAGTCGGTATTTATTCGGCCCGCATTAACACCATTATTGTGTGGCTGAATCTATTTCATCTGGCAATCATAACTCTTGGTAGAGTAGTTTTAAATCAAACATCTCTATTTTCTGTTGCAGATACAGTACCTAAATGCCCAGGTACGGTCAAGAGTAGGGAGAGTCCGCTCACCCTCTCGAAATGCTCTCACATGGCCACGCGTATACAGCCTCTGCCAGGGAAGTCCTACTCACTGCCTTCTCGTGGCGGAGGTGTTGTTTACGAAAATGAGAGGACGAAAAGCGAATGTCCAGCGCTTTAATCGGATTCCAAACCAATGGTGCACATGGGCTCCAGTATCCTGAGGGAACAAATGGCGTATGAACCAATTGTTGGTCACTGGCTCCCATGGGACTGCATCTCCTGACGTTGCTCCACTGCCTTGTGGATCAGACCTTCAGGTCGAAGGCTCGGGGAGTGGCCTCCTTAGAAAACCACCTGCTTCGGTTTGGGCACCCGAGCAGTATCACGGCCCTCACACATATCGAATGAGATTTGTGTGGCGCATATGTATTTGGTGCCTCCTTGTACCAATATCTATGTCTTAAAATAAATAATAAAATAATTTGTATTCTCTCATCCCATTACATAGGAGGATTTTTGGGGTTTCAAGCATCATTTCCAGAATTATGTTGGATTAATACAGAAAAAGTTGCGGGTGAAGATTTTGCTGAATATCATCAGTGTGACTGCCGATTAGAACAAATACTAGATGCCTGCTTAGGTTATTCATCTTCTAGTGACTTTTCTAAAATCTCGGCATCCGAATATGACATTTTATCTGCATCGGCTACGTCCACTCATCCAACTTCTATTTCATCAATATCTTCAATTTCATCGAAGTCTACTCCATCTTCTTTCCAAATTCCATCGAAGGAACAGTTTTCAGGTGGGATTTCCAGAACATTAAGGTATAACCTCTGTTTTGTACCTCCATTTGTTTCTAGATCAGTAAATTTTTACTGTGTTGAAAATGTCGTTCAACCATTAATTTCGATTAACGATCTCATTATAAACAATAATATGGATTTTTTTATTTGTTTATAAAAGCATTTCAGGCCTTATTAAACAGACCAAAATGTCGGCCATTTGTATGCTCTTAATAATACAGATCTTCATTCTCTTTCACTGAAAATTATGTAACATTTGTCTTTTTTTCCATGCAATCTCTTATTTTTGATAACCATGTCAATTTCTTGCCAACCCAACCATTTATTTTACGAAAAATTTAGTTGGAGTATAATATTTCAGCTTCTCAAGACTCATTAATGACACAACAGTTAGTGTTTTATCTATTATTTTAGTTTGGGTCGGAATCACGTGATCGATTGCATCAAACTAGATCACCAAATTATTGGTTGGGTGTAAGAGATTAGATTAAGTGGCGTATTCGCATCATACGAACCACTACGTTTCAGTTATACATACCTATCTGACAATCATACTACTCAGGATACCAAAATATTAAGCAATATTAAGTAGTTAAATTATGAATCAACATTTTAGTCTGTCGATTAATGAGTTGAAAACCTCTCTACTCCAGGTTTTGATCGTTATCGTTACTTATTTTAATGAGTAAATTAGTCAATATTACTTTTCTACATAGTAATGGCACTTCTCCGTTATAGGTTCGGTGTAATCTGATATTTCTGGGGCTCAATGAGATATAAAGTACTGACGGAGCAGTCGAGTTTGTTGTAGATTCGTTTGTTATTAAAAGAATCCTTTCTGATTTCCATTTCCATCCACTTGATCACATTGAGAACAACTGTAATGAAATTAAAAACCATATCTTCAAGGAATGAAATGTATAATTACTAGTTTCATCCGGATTACATCTTGAAACTGTCAGTCTGAATAAACCGGAGATAATCTAAATCATTGGCTTTATGTACCAAAATATTTCGTTCTATGCATACGTTCAATTGCCCTCCCGGTATTCCACCATTTTCTTTAAAATTTATATTGTATCTTTTATGCTTTTGGCATTTCGATTTTCTTACATCTCTTTTCATATCTTATCAATACTTTTTCAACTCTGTCTCCATACTGTGTGCAGAAATCGTCTCTTAAGTACTCGCTGCTTTTAAGTTATGTGCATTAATTCCAAAACATTGAAATCCCATAGCATCAGACGTATTAAGTTTTTTTTTTTTGATTTTGAGAATATACGTTAGTTCATTCGAAGAAATTTATTTTCAGTTAACAGTAAATTTATATCAGTCAGGAAACTCAACATCAGTTTTAATCATTTTGACTTCCATGGTTTTAGTTTTATCAACGAAAACAAACAATGCTTTTTATCACTTTATTTCCAAATAATTTTAGTCCTGATGTACCTGTGGATAATCGTTCAAGATCGATTATAGAAATGAAAGTTGATAATACTGGTAGTACATTAACTCGTCCGTCTCCAATTCTGCCACATTTAATACTAGGAAGTCAGGAAGATGCTAATTCTTCAACTATTTGTAAACGTTATGGAATTACTCATATTCTTAATGTATCTCTTGAAGGCAGTATTCCTTCACATATTCCCAGTCAAAATTTTTATCAAATTCCTGTGAACGACAATTATACTGATCTCATGACACCATACTTCAAAGATGCTTTTGCATTTATTGGTAATTCTTTAATTGTTTGTCTTTATCCTTAATGAAACTAATTTAAAAAACTATGTTGCTTATTATTTTCTTTGTGCGTACAATTTAATAACTTAGTAACTATTAAAAAGAATGGTAAATGGTATGTTACTAACTGTGGAGCTTTAGTTTATTGGCTTAGGCATCCCGATATCAGCTGATGTAAGTTGTATGTTTAAACATTGGTCCACCCATTGTGGGTTGGTCTTTGAGTTTCCAAGATACTAACCATCATTATAGTTTCCAATAATCATAACGAATATAATGATGTAATATATATGTTGAGATCCATAAAATAAGATATTTTTCCTGATTTTCCTTAATATGGTTGTACATTTTTTTAGTCTAATAAGTAAATACCAATATCTTAGCTTACGTTTACCACAACAGTTTGCTTAGAGCTGTTTAAAAGACATACTTTAGCTAGTGAGTAAAACTCGATGCATAGATGTGCCTGGTCATACGTTGTAGCTGACTGACTGACTGAAAACTCGAAAGCTATTATCTCATGTTGCTTTCGTCTTTACCATTCTCCTGTTTACTTTGTTATAAGTACTTTCATAAATTTTACAGTAGTTTGTACCTCTTCTCATCCTTAGTGGTTGGTCAACAGAGATAGTTGGATTTGAGTATTTATTTCGATGTGTAAGATAATACTATTGTGGCAGACAGAATTTATATTCTAAGAGAGCTATAGCTTTTTAAACCTTACCATTTCTTCTGAACCCCTACTCGATCCCGATGACAACACGATATAAGCGATGATAAAGTGAAAAATAATACAGACCCTTATTTAGTCAGATAATTAATTTGAAACGCTTTTGATTTTACATATTCTGGAATTCGGATTCCAATATTAAATGCTGCTAAGTTTGAGAAATGGAGGGGTAACCAGTTTATGGTATGTAACCGCAGAGAAAATAGTAGTTGTATTGTGTCAGTATCTGTTGCCGGATCACTGCTACCTAGTTAGGGGTTCTATAAACCGTAGGACTTTGTAAGGCGTTGCTCACAACCAAAGTGACTGGTGATCTGGTCACATTTCTCGTTTTGGACCTGGAATCCGATATATAAAACACTAGTTAAGGAAAACTAAAACATACTACGGAAGGAAATTAGGCTAAGGAAGGATGTGAGGTTTGACGTGTCGCTTTTGCACGCGGAATTCGGACTTGAATCGGTGGATCAGTACATAAGTACATAAGTTTTTGATTCGACCTCCCCTCTACCCAGTTCATTAATTGTGTAGATTATTTTAAAGTAAGACTCCTTCGGAGCGACGTGTCCAGAGTCGATTAGATGCTACTGTATTGCACTGGTGATTGTTTTGCGTTCTTTTAAAAACCACACCGGGTAATGTTCTGAGGTGCGTTTAGAAAGTGACCGCTTTGTGCTGTCGATGTAACCTGCCCCACAAAAGCAAATAAATTTATAGATGCCCATCGATGTAGCGCAAAGCGGAAGTTTATCCTTAACGCATCCGTAAATAGTAGGTGGCCTTGAGAAGGCAATGAGGAGCTTAGCTATGTAGAAGGTATTATTCAGAGATTTTGAGACCCATTTATTTAAGGTTTCAGCGGCCGTGTTTCCTTAAAGTTCGATTATCATAAAACGAGTTTAATTTTGAACCGTTGGTGCTTTCTCAGGATGTTGTATAGATGTAAAGTTCCTATCGAAGAATCTAGGTGGATAACCATTTTTATGAGTGTCTGTCGAAGTTGAAGTAGTTCGTCATCTATTGTGTCATCAGAACATATTCTCCTAATCCTTGAGGATATAAAGTGAATTAGGTTTCTCTTTCTACTCAGTGGGACCCACCTGTGGAAATTCGTATATTGACCATTCCAGGTCGGTTTTCTATACACAGATCTCTGTAAAGAACCACCCGACTTTTTCAACTGGATATCAAAAACATGAAATTCCTCATTCACCTCTGCCTCCAATGTGAATTGAGTTAAGCGGCAACGATAATTGAATCGGTTCAAAATCTCATTGAGGTCCATATCTTCTTCACAAACAATGAAGGTATCTTCAATATATCTTATGTAAATGAAATCTCTCAATTATTGGTTGAGGCGTCGACGATACATCAATTCGAACCGGAACTGTGCGTGCAAAAATGATACGTCCAACCTCTCGTCCTTTCGCGGCCCTAATTACATTCTGTAGCGTGTTTCAGTTTGTTTTGACTTTGAGAACTAATTATATATGCTACTTATAAAACGATCAGTTTCAAAGGATACTAGTATAATGCACCGTACCGATATTTTTTCAAAACGATTTATTTGCAGAGTCTGCTAAAGCAGCCCATGGACGAGTTTTGATTCATTGTTCAGCTGGAATATCTCGGTCACCTACTCTAGCAATTGCCTATCTTATGTATTCATGTCGAATGAAAATGCATGAAGCATACGAGTAAGTTTAATTTAGATGCTTTACTTCTATTTTAGTTTGCTGTATGCTTGCATACCTAACATCTTTGTTGAGTTTTAATTTTGTATGCAAAATGATGTCTTAGTTTTTTTGTGCTGACTGAATGATATTATTTTTAAAAAGTTTCGTGACTAACTTAGTGTTATTGAAGTAGTATAGTATTATCTTTCTTCTAAATCTATTTGTACGACATTACTAGTATGATGTGTAGTTTTTTTGTTAATGTATTATAGCATTCATCGATTCATACCATCCATTTATTCAGTAGAAATTACTTTTCTACTCATTTTATCTCGGAATAATCAGTAATTGTTTGATAGAAAAATAATGTAAAGCTGTAGGTTGCCATTGACAAATTTTACTTGTGATAAAATGCTAATAATTTGTACTATTATCAAGTCATCTTGTAGAGGGCGTCTAAATTTTGTCTTCACTATCGAAATACCAGATGATCTTGATAGACAAGTTAAAAATAATCACTACTTATGTTGTTAGATGGATTTTATGTGCCTGTATATAGTTATAATAAGTAAATTAAAAGATTCAAATTGTTTCTACACTAAGAGGAGTGTCGTAGCAGCTCTTATAGATTGATAATGCACACAATTTTGATACAAATACGTATACGTTCCCTTGGTAACCATCAAAATAAATTGTTCGTGATGTTAACTATGTTGATTACCTTTTAGAAGACGGACCTGCCTCTCAATAATACAGTTTCTATTTCCAGTGTGTGTTGTGCGATGAGATCATTAGTGAATTATTGTTTAAGTTCTGTACGTAGTTTTGCATTGATAGGGTAAGTTAGTTTATAAAATTTGACAACTCCAGCGGTTAAAATTGTTAGCTGTGTTACTCAATGTTGGCTGCTCCTTACACTAAAGTGTTATCTTGGATGAAGTGAAAATATAAATTTAGGAAATAATATTTCAATGAACTAAATTTTTATGGTCGTTTAGTGTTGAAACGCATTATTTTGAAACACCGTTCTTTTTTGCGGGAGAGTTAACTTTAAACCTCGGTACATGTCAGGTTGCTTTCCTTCCTCACTAAAGATATACACTTTTCAACCTTTTTTTTGTAAATTAGATATAATATTTACAAAATGTTTGTTATTTTTTTCATAGGTAGTATTTACTTTATCTTTGTGCGTAAACTTATCAATTTAGCCACAGTTTGTTTTTTACCTTTGCTGAATTAGAAAAGAATTTCAAATTGTATACAGATTTAACTTTTTTTCTCATTGTATAATACAAACCCATTATGCTTGTCAAGTTAGGAGTAGTTTATGTAATTGTATAATAATGAAGTTAAATTTATTGTCTCCCGTTGCTTAATTGTTAACATTTCTATCGATTTTCTAGTGTTGTTAAATCTGGACGAAACAGCGTTGCTCCTAATTTTAATTTTCTTGGACAGTTGTTGGAGTTTGAGCATCAACTTCATGATTCTGGTTGTAGTGAAGCTTCCATTCCAATCGATAGCACTCCGACTTTTGACAGCCCTGCTAGTTCGTGTTCAATTCTAAGCATGTCCGCAGAGGTGCAAAGCTCTTCTATGTTAAAGTCTGGTCTTCATTCGTCATCATTATCACTAAATTTAACTCCAACATCTCCGAAGGCATTATCTAAGAAACGGGAAAGACCAACATACCTTGGTTTGGAGGCTACTTCATCTTTTGCAGGAGTTTTAGGAGGATCTGTTTGGAAAAGTTCGCTACACTGTGGGGGGTCGGTTAGACCAATTCCTGAGTCTGGAATAAGCCCAACTGAAGAAAAACGTAGCAGAGTTTCAGCGTTATTGTCACCTACTCAATCTTCTAATCCATTATTACCGTCTCCTTGCACTGGTTTGTCTAAGCTAGAGATATCTTCACCCTTAGAAGAGTATCGATCTTTACTGTCTGTTTCTCGTGCTCCATCGTCTTTTGTTCCTGGACATGTGCTTCCGGGTCCTGAATCTGCCATACAGATGCTTAAATTCAAACCTTTTCTTTCATCTTATACAAGTTTACAAACTTTGAAATTTGAACCATGCTCAACTGTTATGCCACCACATCCCATCCAATTAACCACTACACTTTCACCAGCTAGTATTCTTAGACTTCGTCGTTCATCATCGACAGTTGGTACCGCAAGACCAACTTTGCTTGCTCAGCGTCGTCTTTCTTCACATGCAAGCGCACCACCGACCCCAAGGCCAGTATCTATCGACGGAAGTCATCCAGTTTATCGTAGTATTTTGCATGCACATGGAGGATTTCGTTTACCAAGTAACTTGCCATCAACTAGTTCATCTAGAGTGAGAGAACTTAGTCCTTCCACCCCAATATCTCAAGAACCAAAGCTTGAATACGAACAGCTGCAGAAGTGTAATGCGAATGTTGTTGGGAATGAATCATTTAAAAACCAGGTTTCTCCCACAGGTTGTTCAAAATTTCTTTCATATTGTCGGAAACCTAGTCTACCTGTTAATTTATTGCGCTCACATAGCAATGAAAGCTTAAACAGAAGCTACATAAAAAGTGACAAATTTCAGGGTTGTCTCATTTCATCATCTAGGTGTTTCAATACATCTAATCTCAGTCGTAGTGCCCCATCACAACGTGATATAGATCTAGTCTTTTTTGGGGATCAGGGTTATTCGAATAATTCCTCTCATATCTTTTCTCTACGCAGGTCTTTACCTGTTCCCGGTGAGCTTACTTCATCGTCTCCAATGGATTCAAAGAGATTCGACCCTGGACAGTTGTCAGCTAACCTAAAAATAACCAATATTGCTACAACCATGCGGTTAATACCAAAAGGTACTAGTGTGGATACTTCTTGTCGACTTCAACAACAATCCTTTGTGCAATCATCTGGTAGTAGCAGTCCATCACCATCGGCTAGCCATAATTCACCACATAACAGTAGTAGTTATAGTCTATTCCCAATTTCTTAAGGAGCATTTTGTCAACAGTATTTCCTTCCTTGCTTTTTTCTACGATCAACATTTAAAAAACTAGTTTGGTTGGTTCATTTTCTTTCTTTGCTAAGTATTTGTAAATAAACTTAGTGCATTTACCGACTAGAACTAAATCTGTTTGTATAACGACTAATATTACTGCGATTAATAACAGCCTTGACTTGTTTTGCTATCCAGGTTTTTTAAAGGCTTGTGCATAGTGACTGTTTACCACTCTGATTTTAAGCCTTTTATTAGGGTGTTATCGTGCCAATTTGTCTTGTTTTTTTTCAATGTTCTCTCTCCACTTTGTTTTCCTTCTTTCCTCAATGCTTCACCTATTTATTTTGTCCGAATAATTGATTACATGCATTTTACAACTTTGTTTATACCTTAAACATTCCATCATTTTAAGTACTACAATTGTATCCTTACTGGCCTAGTTAAAAGTGTTCTGGTTGAACAATTGTTATATATATATGTACATGGAAAAATAAACGCACAAATAATTCACTTGTGCCTTACATAATATTTTAATAGTTTACTTGACTGTAAATATCCCTAACATTTTTTTCTTTTAATGTGTACACATAGGGAAGAACCAGTTTCTTTTTTAAACTTTTTTTTATTGTACGTCGAACATTTGTCTTATACTACCTACCTACTTATGTACATGTATACTATATATACTGTATTTGTTCTAGGGATTTTTCGAATTAAATCAATTTGTTTTTTACAAATTATCCTCTTTCCTTTTATCTCATACTTTTCGTCTAGAAAATAAAACAGTTGACTGGTATTTTAGTCGATAGATTACTCCTTGTTTGATATCCCAAAAGAGAAACTTATAGGCCAACTATATTTCAATTGGAAATATTGCGACGAAGTTCTCCTTTTTTGGATTTCTCTTAAGTAATTAATAAAATAAAATTGTTGCCTGATGTACTGGTTTGCTATTATAAAAATCATGCAAACCATACCAAAGCTAAATACTTCTTGATAAATATGTTTAATTATGGGGTTGTGGAGATTGTTGAATTTGATTAAAATCGTGAACCGATCTAATTTAGACCACCATTAATAACCTGGAAGGACTGGATGGCCGTTTCATTGTAGTATGAGACACCCCAGCAGTGCATATCCACGATTTTGTGCTTACCAATGGCTAGTTCTGAGAGGGAATTTCCTCGATTTTAGTGATATATCGTGCCCAGTGTGTGTCGGGTGTGAGTCATTTACCCACCGAAGACAATGAAAGATGGTCGTGCAATATCATGGATTGATTGACATTAACACCGTTGGCTGCCGGCTCAGTGTTCTAGGGGTTAAGCACTCGCTCGAGACCAAAGGTCCAAGGTTCGTGTCTCACGTTCAACATCGTGGATGTGCACCACCGAGGAGTTCCAGACTAGGACGAAACATCGTCCAGTGCTTCTAAGTTCTCGATAGTGGTCTGACTCAGATTGGTTCGTGATTTCAATTGAATCTATTAAGAACTAAGAAAAATAAACATTTCAATTGGAAGGATTGTTAAGTATGGTGTAGTTGTTTTGTTGTTGTACAAATTATTGTATATCATAACTATGTAGTAAATTAAATTCCTAACCCATCTCTTAAATGGACTTAGTACTTACAATGGGTGTGGTGTTGTGTAATTATGGATTTTATTTTTTTGCCAATTTAACTACTTGTAAAAATAAAAGAGTTTGTAAGATGTCATTTTTTATACTGGTTGGAACTAATCATTTTGTCTAATTTATATGATTATGCAAATGAGTGAGTTCTATATTTCACTTCTTAAGCTTCTGTCATCATGTGAACTTTAGAAGCTTAAGAAAACAAGAATACAAAATAAAATATTTTTTTGTAAATTGTATTTACGTAAATTATCGGGAAATAGCCAAAAGTTATAAGTATTTAAAAATATATATTAATAGCTAATTAAAATAGTTCTAAAGTCGCTTAAACGTATCATAATTACCATTAAATTATCATATCTAACGTCAATCAGTTCAATATTTTTTAACAGTCCACAAACTTGCATCTAAAATCAATACTTTTTTGGTATAATTTGAAGAGTTATGTGGAGAAATACTGTGTCACTCAATAACACAAGTTCAGAGTGTCTTTTGTACATTTGACTAGCAAAAATAGTTCGAAAACTGCAAAGAAAAGTTGTTCAGCTCGTAACCCTATTCGGAACTGCATAATTGTGTCAAAAGCAATAATGTCACATCTTCATTCTTCCTTTAGGTGTCAAACAGAAAACATAGGCAAACCTATGCTTTCAATCTCATTAAAAGAAATACTTTACATCCAATATGATATTAGTTTGAAATGTTCTTATCTTAATTCATATATTAATAGGTTTTTTGTTGGGTGCTTAGTTTGCAAATGTCATGTCATCTCTAAAATTAACGGTAGATTACTTATGATGAAACACCACACAGAATAACTTATGTTCCTATTGACTCAATCCAAACTTACGTCGTTACACAAAGCTACTGACTATTATGGCGTAGTCATCAAAAACACGTCTAGTGAGATATGCGAAATTTAGCTAGATTGCTATTCAGTGCGTATTCATAGTCTTGTTAGTATGCATAATTTCGACAAATGAGTAGCATATATATATCATTGAAAATATCAATAAATTGTTTATCATGTTCAATTGAGAAATGAATTTTGTCTAGATAAGTACTAGTTATTTATGGTGTATAATTGTTACAGAATTCTTTTTGTTTGCACGCGTAGATTCATTTAATTATTTCCACACCGAAATATCTATCCAGTTCTTCTAGTCCTGCACTGCATACCTGAAATATAATGATAAATTTTTGTTGGTACATCATTGTTTAAAGTCATAGTATTTCAAATAAATTTGGATAGTACTTCGTTACAATATTATACATTCGAGTGGAAATCTTTATTTCTTAAAACGTTATGTTACATGCACAATATATATGAGCATAAATTCATCTAACCTAACTCCCAGTTATCTCATTATCAATAACCTTAGCTTTAAATATTGAAAATACTAAAAATAAAGTTGACAGATTCCTAAAAATTATCTTCATTACAGATGAAACGGTAAATTTTCACAACATAGTCATCTTCATTTCAGAAGTTAAACATCGTTTTTTTTACTAGGATAAATGCCTGGATGTACCTATATAAGTGTGATTAGTTTCAAGGTTTAATGAAATTGTTCAGAGGAGCAAAAGTTCTTTTTTAATAATGTCATCCATCGGTGATAACGGTTATGTAGACTATACAACTAATAAGTAAGTATTGTGATAAGCGAGGTTGAAATTTGGAGGAAAAACTTATTAAAGAGGACGACCATTATAATCGAAAATTATACAACACTATAAGGTGAAATGTGTAAATAATCAGAAAGTAGATATCCAAGTAATAAAGAAGAGATTTGAATGTCGGAGGTAGTTTACTAAATCTTCCCTGACCACGGAAAGCATAAATATATTACATTGTTCTACGAATTCTGGGTTCTATAAGGTTTAGGAACATATGATAGTGTTTTGACCGGTTTCAAGCAGTTTCCCCTCGAATACTGCTACATCATCTAATATGTAGTCCATATTCCTTCAAATATATTGTACTACCATGTGAACATCAGGAAAGTGTACAAATCTCACCCATTATACAAAAGTATTTAATAGGAATTCAATAAAAAGACTTACTTTAATCGGTGGATCTGTTAAAGGGTTTCCACCAACTGTTGTACTTGGTGATAATAATGGTGACCATATCAATCCACGTAGTTCAACAATTGATTGTGGCAAACTTTCCAGTCTGTTATCACCCAACCATAAGCATCTTATATTTCGTAATTCACCAATATCCTCTGGTAAACTGGTCAAACGATTGTCGAATAATAATAGACTTTCTAAATTGATTAATTCAGTTATAGATGATGGTAAAGTTTCCAAATGATTACTACTTAAATCTAAGAACTCCAACTTCGTTAATTTCAATATTGGTTTAGGAAATTCGGCGAACTATGGTTATTAGTTTTTTTAAGTTAGGTAAAAAAACGAGGAGGCGTTAATTTAACAAAATACATAGTTTAAAGCTTTTTTTATGGCTTGCAATAATAAAATAGTCGGAAGTTTAGGCTACACTGTGAAAAGTGATTGGTTGCTTAATGACCATTGGTATTCCTAATCAAGTATTTCTCTACCCTAGCAGAATTGCTCTCCGAATGCGTGTGTTCAGCATTCTTTTCTTAAAATACTGGAAATCCAAAGAAAATGGACTCAAGTAATTAGTCACCCGGCGAGAAATAACTTAAAAATACTTGTGCGAAAAATACTATCTTCACGATATAGATTATGATCATAATATTACCGTCCATTACCCCTCGAACACTCCCAACGAAGATAGATTCTATGTGCTACTTTGTATTTGAAGGATAACTCCTATCCAATCTATGTTGCGTTACATTTTTTGTTACAAAAATAATAGTTCCCTTACAGTATAATATGCGAATAGTAAATGATTCTAACTTGTTATAATATTATTTATTTGTGATTTATGCTGACAGTCATCATTCGAATGTAAAGGTTACCAAGTTCAGTTTTATTGACAATCATTATCTGAACTCATTAAATTCGTTACTGCATCAATCAATCAGTTTTTTTTAAAATTACATACATGATAAAAACAAGTTATGATATCAGAACGAAGATTGAAGGAATGGTAACTCCAACAACTAATTTATGTGTTGTTATTTATATTCGTATTGTATAATTACTGAGTAACTAGATTATCATGTCTATGTATTCTGTTTATCAAAAGCTTTTTGTTAACCCATTAACTACTATCACACGACTTACTATTCCTGATTTGTTGCCTGTCTATTACTTACAGTCTTCCCTATTCATAGCCACTTTTGGCTTTTTTTAATGTATAATTATTATTTTTCATTTTATGGTGTGAGTAGGTCCGGTATATCTGTATGCAAACCACATCTGTTTATAATATAAATGTTGTAGAGGCTGATTGCTAACTTTTGGGAATAGAGAGAAGCTTGCGAATAACCGATCAACAAGAACTTATCTGCATCGGCTCATGATTAGTAGTACTGGTCGGGCGTGTAGTTGGTCGATTTGAAACACTAGGCTAGAAAAACGGTTTTAACACATTGAAGTATTGATTATTTGAATGATGTGTCATCGTATTTTAAGTGGGTAATAAAAAACCAATTAACATTATTAGTTTTAAAGTATGGATAGATTCAATTAATAATTAGTGTGAAGCGTCGGTAACTGATTGTTTACCTATTTTTTTCAGTCTAGTTTTAACGCACACGATCGACTTTTTTTTACTTAGAATGATATACAGACATATAATAGATCTTTCGATAGAATATTAGTTTTACGAAAATGCTTTTAGCACATTATCCAAGGTTTTTTTTAAAAAAAGCATTGGATGGGAATTATGTTGTAGAAATATTGTGATAGTTTGAACTCTAAGGAGATTTTTACGCATGATCCATTGCTTGATTATGCAAGGTAAACGACAAGAAAGTATGAATTCCTTGTGGTTTATTTACTCATACTATTCACAAGTTCAAAGAAGTTCACGTTGTTTCTGAAACTAAATATGACATTATGAATGATTAAAGTTCGATGTGTCAACGTTAAACTATCCGAAATAGGAATAAAATATTTCACAGTTTATCAGCGGAAATTATGAGAAACTTATAAGCATTAACAAAATTATTTGTTTGCCAATTTTAGATAGAAATAACTACACAAGTGACAATATATTCAATTGTCCCTGAAGATTAGAAGTGTGTATAATTTTTTTAAACTCCCTCTTCTGTCTGATTTTATTATGTGTTTAGCGATAAAATTTATTTTATTTATTTATTTAAACACAAATATTGGTACAAGGAGGCACCAAATAGATATGCGCCACATAAATCATTCGGTTTGTGTGAGGGCTGCCCAGACAGAAGCAGGTGGTTTTCTTAGGGAGCCACACCCGGAGCCTTCGACCTAAAGGTCTGATCCACTAGGCAGTGGAGCAACGTCAGGAGATGCAGTCCCATGGTAGCCAGTGACCGACAATAGGTTCATTCACATTTTGTCCCCTCAGAATTCTTAAGCCCATACCCTGTCCTGGGTGGACCCTCCGTGTCCACCAACCCAGTTAAAGCCCCGAACATTCGCTTCTCGTCCTCTCAATTTCGTAAACGACACCCCCGGTGCGAGGAGACAGTGAGTAGGACTTCCTTAGCAGTGGCTGTATGCATGTGGCCACGTGAGAGCACTTCGAGAGGGAGAGCTGACTCTCCCCACCCTCGGCCGTATCAGGGCATCTGGGGCAAGTAGCGATAAAATTGACCATGCAAAATTTATTATTTATTTATTTATTTTAACACATAGATATTGATACAAGAAGGCACCAAATACATATGCGCCACACAAATCTTATTCGATATATGCGAGGGCTGTGATACTGCCCGGGTGCCCAAACCGAAGCAGGTGGTTTTCTTAGGGGGCCAAACCCCGAGCCTTTGACCTAGAGGTCTGATCCACAAGGCAGTGGAGCATCGTAAGGAGATGCAGTCCCATGGTAGCCGGTGACCAACGATTGGTTCATACGCCATTTGTTCGCGCAGGATACTGGAGCCCATGTGCACCATCAGTTTGGGATCCGGTTAAAGCGCCGGACATTCGCTTTTCGTCCTCTCATTTTCGTAAACAACACCTCCGCCACGAGAAGGCAGTGAGTAGGACTTCCCTGGCAGAGGCTGTATACGCGTGGCCATGTGAGAGCATTTCGAGAGGGAGAGCGGACTTTCCCCACTCTCGGCACTACCAGGGCATTTGGGGGCAAAAGCAATATACCTGTACCGAAAATGGCTAATAGAAAATGTACCTGATATTTATTATCTACTGAAATTAATTTCAGCACCATCGAGGATTAGATGACTGTAATGAAAAGTTTCATACTAGGAATGAATATTTGTAAAATGCTCCCTTATTCACTAAACCCTATTAAGTGATTCCTTTCAATCGCTTATCACTTTGTTAACAACGATCAATATTTTTTGACCGGATCAGTAATAATTTCACACATGGTAAATGTTTATTTATATTTATGGAAATAACCTTGTAAATTTAATTAGTCTAGTAATGGTCTAGCACCTGCAAGTGTATCTCATTCCACAAGTATATTTTAGGAACTTTAAATGTTTAACCATCTTTATTAGTGAATCCCCTAAGTAAAACCACCGAATGGCTGTCAATATGTTAACGCTGTCCCTAGCAAGTTTAACTAATTTGAATAACATAAACAGTATATCACTATGTCACATGACACACACATTTAGGTAGACCTGATTCATATATTTTGGTAATTACTGCTTTGTTTTTCCGTGCTCTGTGTTTTCGTTTTAATTACTCTAGTTGTAGATAATTATCATTTATTCGATCTGGCACACAAATTGACCTTAATTACTCCGTTAATAAATCAACAGGCTGTCCATTTAAGAAATATTAAAAATTCCCGGCTGATTCATTGGATTGCTGTAATATATGTACTACTTAAACAACTATTGAACTAGTATACTTAAAACTTTCTTTTATCACATGTTTGTTCTGCACGTCTAACGTTATTATTTATATCAAATTGATCATGCCTGTAAACTGGCGTGAATTCTGTAATTATTATTTTCAGAATATAAATTATTATTATTAACTGTTTTAATGACATTTCAATGGACCATAACCATTATTTGAAACCAAAGAATTACACACCAAAGATGAAACAAGTATAGACTTTTAATAGTAAAAGCTAAATTATCACTGTTGTTATATGATTTAATTAATTTAATAATTAGAATTAAATTTGATGATATAAATAAATGTTCAATTAATTGTTCTAATATGATAACTGATAATATCCAGGCCATCTAATATTAAATACATAAGTCATCTATCAATGACTGATATTATTTAAAATGATCAATTATTTTGTGACGTGAAAAATAAAACTATTATTTACAATAAGTAGTAGTAATAGTAGTAGACTAGGGTGTTCACCTAATAGTAGACTAGGATTGATACATGAGTCATTAGTTGATCACTTGAATTTTTTTAATTTTTATTATGTCTACATAATAAATTTAATTTTCATTAAAATACTAAATTAAATTTTCTCATATGTTAACCAGAGTGTAATTATAAACTGTTATAGGTTATCTAGTTAAATGATATTTTTCATTATGTAATTAAACTGAAAAAAAATGAATTGAAATTAAAGAATAGTGGACAATTATTCTATCTTTACGTAGGACTTTAAATACAAGTTTTAAAATACTTACAGTATGTACATTATTTTTAGGGTCATGGATACACATCCTATAGAGATGAGTTACTGAGTCTAGATAAATACCAACTTGTTCAATAACTACAGTGTTTTTATATCATTATTCATCAAGTTAAATAAAATACTAATCGTAATTGTAGTTATTATCTCCTGTTATTAGCAAAATATATATTAAAAATTCCGATAGCAACTAGTGAATGACCTAGATTTAAAGCTTTTTCAAATGCAATCCAGCCATTTCATATCCTGGTTACTTTATTTTAATAGTCGTAGTAATAGTAATACTAGTGGTAGTAGTTAATAGTATGAAAATAAATAGTTAAATATACAGAACCACTCAACATAAAATGTTATATTTAAAAAAAACCTTGCTATTACTAAATTATTTGCCAAATGTAGACTTTTCATTTGTTTTAATCTCTCCATTGATGTAGGTAGACTTTTCAGTTGATTATTTGATGCAGATAATTTTTCTAATTGTGTTAATGAACCAATTTCAGACGGTAGACTATGCAATTCATTTGTATCCAATATTAATATTCTAAGATTAATTAAATAACCTGAAATGATGAAAAACCATATATATGAATATCTATAATACTGATTAATTAGAATAAATAATCCACTATTGTTTATAAATATCAATACCAAGGTTGAACTTGATAGTTTCAGGTAATTTTTTTGTAAAATTCGAATACATATTGACTTCTTGTATAATTATCATATTTACCAGATAAGTCACAAAAGATGGTACGATATTTGATTTTTTTTAAAAAGTTAACTGAAAGTGAGTTACTAAGAGATATAAGGAACAGAAATGAAAAATGATTGGTTAACTGTGACCTTCATTTTCAATCTTGTTTATTCATTCATTGTCTGACAAAAACATTCTATCCTGACTAAATGTTTTAAAGGTATTACTTAAAAGCCATGTATATATATTCTGATAAATATCCACTCAGAATATATGATATTAGGTTTTGTAAATAAATTATTATTTCAATCAATTTAGTCATGATACTAATCTTATCAATCACTTGTGCTGTTATACAGTTTTAGATTGTCAATTCCTGTGATTAGAACATTCCATTGTTTTTAGCAGAAATGTTATTTGTCTAGATTGTTGCATTTATATAGGTTTAAAAAATCTTACTAGTACAGATAACTTACTGTTTTATTTAGTTATACGTCATTTAAACCTTTGTCCGAATAACTGACATATTATCCATGAACATGACTCCAACATCTAAATTATTCTAAATATAGATTAATAAGTCACTTAACTACAAACCACCAACGCTTTAATCTGTAGATTATTCGCACGCTAGTGTTTGAAGGAATTCGATTATGCACAGAAACTTTTACATGTTCGGCATATTCGTCTACTTATTAGTAAACAGATAAAAACACTATTTGTTCTAATTCAAGACTAACTACAGTTATAAGTCTTATAAATAAGATGTGGTCATTTCATTTATATCCTACTCGTTCGTGTTCAGTAACTATTTTAATAGTGTTTAAAATCTATTTATTTTTCAAACTTTATAAATCCAAAGAGTAAGCTGCTAATAGTAGCTATCATCACAAGAATCGCTAGAATTTCTAAAAAAAGTTATCACCTATAATTTGTCTGGTTAGACATCAATTTCATTAAGTTAGTTTGTAAATTGTATAATAATGGAACATATTTAATTTTTATATTAATAAACTAAAATTAGATTATTGGGATGGAAACTTTATGAAAATTTTTCATTTTGAATAATGCTTATATCACGAACTGAATAGAGTTAACTGCTGAGGAGTTCCATAATGGTACGAAATAGTGATCCACAACTCCCTGGTCAGCTAAGCTATTTTATTATTTGAAAACTATCATATCTCACTAAATTATCTAATATTTTAATACATTTTTGTCGGTTGTTTGAATCTCCCCATTTACGTTTAGGACTGAAATTGATCAGTCTTTTATTGGTATATGTGCATCCGGTGCGGATTTTCTCCATATTGTCTTAAATCACAAACATTATAAACAAAGATGGATGGTGGCTGGCAGTAAAATCCAGGACGTGCGTTTCGTCCTACTTGGGACTTGTCAGCTGGATGTACCTGCATTTCAGAGTTGAAGTTCACTTCAGAACTCGAACCCATTACCGTTCGCTTCTAGAGATTGATCAATCCATGGAAAGATTCAAACAACTAACCGAAATCGAATGAAACTTCACCCGATTGGGCAAGCTAATGGCTACCTGGACTCAGTAGCTAAGTAGATAATGTGATGGCGTTTGAAATTAACGGTAGTGGGTTCGAGTCTCGGAGTGAACATCAGCGCTAAGATGGAATCACATCGTTCTGACGAGTCCCAACTGGGATGAAACACGCGTCTTGGAATCCACTACCAGACATCATACAATCTGCTTATGATAAACTAATATTTTACCAAATATTTAAATATACACATTTGTACCACTTAGTCACACATTTAATCTATCTCTGTAGCTCCAAACAAGAAAAAGATTAACGATTGATTAGTAAATTATAACGTACATGAATAGGATCAGAATGTTATATCTGTTTAATAGATTCAACTATTTTAACATTTTTGTTTCGTAGTTAATTATGATGTCAGTCATTTTTATTATTTTGATAACTAATATCAAACGATGTGAAGAAAGTTTCAGTCCTAAAATAGGATTAGACAATGAATCAGATTGATGATTTATTACAGGAAGCTGGGGTTTTTTCATTATTAAAGGGAACCTTAAAAAATAATAATAAATCATGTATAAACATGATTCAGATTGTGTTTTTGTTAGTCAGAAAATATTTGACAAATATAATAATGTTTTTAACGCATATTGTTAAGAATCGAGAAGTATAATTGACTTTATTTATTATTATTTTGTTGTAGTTAATCTACTTCACAGACTAATATCAACCGGTGAACCATTTGAGATCTTTCAGCAGTGGAAATATCCTACCCTACTAGCAATTGAGATCAAAATATTTAGGTTTCGTACCGAACATGCTACCTTTAAGTAACTGTATTGTATTGTCTTAAGTTTCATTCAGTTTACAATATCATATAACTGTTCGACTTCAAATTTCCACAAAACAATCATAGTAAATAAATCAAAATTTGTTGAATAAAAAGAAAGTGACTGAATAGTTTTTCATTTAAAAATAGGCAAAAATACAAATAAGTATTCTAATCATTCAATAAATCAATGTACGAGATATGGAACAAATAACTAAACAGACATAATAAGTCTGTTAATTAGAACTGAAAAAAAAATGAATTATTGACAAAAACTATTTATTGTTTAATGAATAGAGTATTGTAAACAACGTTGGAAGCAACTTTTCAGAAACCTCTCTTCACGAAAAATCACTTAAACATCGTGTATATGTATGAATATACAAGTGATTAAAATGGTGATTATCTTAATAATTGCTTTAGACATGATTCCTCATAGCTTATGTACAGTAACATGTTTGTTTATAACATTAATACATTTAATACCTGAGCGATTACCTAATGATCTGTTTGATGCATCAATTATCTCAGGAATATATTCAATAGAATTTATACTGTCATTGATTGTTCTGAATGTAAAAAAGTCTTTACTAAAAAAATCCCTAAAAAGATCTTATAAAGACCGTCTAGCCCATTGTATTTGATTAATATGAGATTAATATAAGATCATTTAATTTAGTCCATTTTCATTAGAACATTTTGTAGGCAGTGGAATCGAAATATTCATTTAAAAAATATTCAAGTTGGTCTATTTGAACATGACAGCTACTGTTACTGGTCAACCAAGTAAGAATTATATTTGCTCCACATGCTTTATAACTTATAGATCATTTATTATTCTGGATCTAGAACAATGTTTAAAATTTAATCTCCTGTAGACATTGATCTGCTAATATCTAGCTATTAATTTATTGCAAAAAGAAAGAATTATTTCAAAGGTGCATTTATAGATATAATCATTACCACTACTAATGTAACGAAGGAAAAGACATATGGGAGCAACCAATTATAGTTTAATACAAAATTATAGAGTTCTTTCGTCAGATGTGAAAACCATGCATTCAATATTTTATTTGCAAATCCTCCATCAATTGTCTCAAACTTCACTGTTCCTTCATTATCATAACAATAAAAAAAGCATATGAAACATTGGATATATTTTTGCAACCGATCCCTAGAAAGTTTTCAGCAATTGGAAAACATTATGGTTTTTTTAATTTTATTTCTACCAGATTTTTAGTAGTTTTAATAATCTTCCAGAGTGAGAGTTCATGGATGTGCACTTTTGAGGAGTCCCATAGTAGGACGAAACAGCTGTCTAATGCTTCCAGAATTTCCATGGTAGTTTAGCTTTAATCGACTCATGAATTCAACTATTAAATCTTTTAATGTTTATTATATTTTGGAATGGATAATGACCATTTTATGAATTCAAATTTTTGTCATATTCTTAATACGCGTTATAATAATAGTTTAGTGTAACTTGAAATAACATTGACATGTTTATGTCATGTGCATTTTTTAGAATATTGACTGAATCCTATTGAGTGAATGTTCAGTGAAGTTTTTAAATTAATTGACTTAAAATCACAATGTATTTTGTGTAATTGGCTTGAAATTCTAACTTCAGTGAAATTAATCTCAGCATAGATTCAAACCTGTTCCATCTGTCATCAACTGATCAACGGAATTCGATCAGATTCTTATTATTAAAAAATATAAATAAAATTGAACAGTTGAAGGAAAATGCATAGAAGCTATCATAAAGATGCTTAGTAATCAACACTTGTTTAGACTATTAAAAGGATTTAGTTCAACAAAATGTCCGAAAAAATCATTTCATCCATAAATCACCAGAAGACTGTTATATTCTACACATGTTAGTTGTTTGTTATCAGTGAATAGCTTAAATCATCATTGTCAACTTTTGATTCTACGGATGTTTAAAAAATTCTCGTAAATTTCAGTTAATAATTATAGCAGATTTTATTGATGCACCAAAAAATAGACCTGACTAAATTTCAGAGTCATTGTTAACTATGGTTAAATTCATGATGTGAACTGTCCTAATCATTAGTAAACTAAATGTATTGAGAAAAATGAGAATTTGGTTGTGATAACAGAAAATGAATAACTTCCATTATTACAAAGTTTTTGGTAGTCAGAATGTTAATGATTACTTTTGTCAAAATTTAATTTCAAACGACAAAGCATATATACGTTAAATCGTCGAGTTAACGTAAAATTTAAGCCGCCTGACAGTCACAGTAGAACATATGAATTTATTGTATGATAGTTACGTAATGTATTTAAAGACCACATGCATCAATTGCCTATTAATACTGAGGCTCAAGTATACTGATAGCATACATACACACGTTTGACCTTATAATTATTCTAACAATTTCAGATCAGTATGGTTTCTAAATCTGAAAAGCATATAATATAACTTAAATCCTCTAACAATTACTAAACTAGACTTACTCGAAACTGTTACGAAATAAGAACAACTCGGTACTGAAATGA